TTCTGCTAAACTTGACCCATTTTCCCATCTGAATTGTTGCAGGTATGAGTATCCGCTGGACTCCAGTTCCTGGATTGAGTGGTGGCCGGATTCCTGCACCAGCGTGCAGTGTAAGAATTTTGTGGCTTTACTGGAGGACTTCTCAGAGAATATTTTGTTGGAGGGATGTCAATAATTTTCTCTACACACCCTGACCCATTACTGTTTTGCATATTTCATTTTCTCTGTTTTGTTCTTCTATAACCAATAATCTATTGTATTCTAGCTGCAAACAAATCATATTGGTCAGTGTAAATAATAAAGATAAACGTTTCTACAGCTTGTCCCAGTCAACGTTCTGTTATGAGCCTGCAGATCTGATTATCATTACAATGTTTTGTGGATTTTTTTGGGGAGTGGTAAATATACAAATTCAAGAGTAAAAAGTAAATCTCACAAAGTAAATATTCACAAAACCCTAGGAAATAAGGTAAAGCGGTGTTCAGTTCAATCACCCGATATTAAGCAATAAAAAATATAAAATAATTTTTAAAAAAATTTAAAATATTTTTTTTCCCTTGCACATGAATGGGTGTTCAAAATGAATGCAGCTTCAGTGCATTTATTAAGCCAAGTTAAGCTTCAGTTTGCCAATGTAGTAAATTAACCCCAGTGCTGTACTGGTCAGGTTTCATCACACATGACACTGTATTATCAGACTTGATCAATATCTGTATTCTGTGCGTCATCTAGGCAGAAAGCAGCAAAATCTTTGCTGGCCATCACTGAAATCTGCACATTTGCCTCACAGGGGTGTCTGGTATGGTGATCTTTGTCAGTAATTTACTATAAAGTGCAATATTTGTTATCAGTAAGCTCGAAAGAGCAGGGCCCTCGAACCCCTCGTGTATCACATTGTATTGGTATTGTTCTGTCACATGTTCTGTCCCCCTTTGTAATGTACAGCGCTGAGCGAACGATTGGCGCTTTATAAATACTGTATAATAATAATAATAATAATAATCAGTACCGTGCTTTAAGTTTTTGGCTTGTAGCATGCCAACGTGTTGTGTATGTGTACAAAGAACATACAGTACATTGCTTAATAAATATCAGGTCAGCCCTATAATGGGCTTTACAAAAGCCTTGTGAAAGTCACAAAAGGACAACATATTTTATTTTTAATATGACTTGATTCTCTATTTACCATGAAAAAAGCCTTTAAAATGTGAAAATCATATTGAATATTGAACAAAGCAAAAGGAAGATGTTAATCTGAATCTTTTAAAAATAGCAATATGTCATTTGCCTCCAGATGGCACTATCATTAGTTTGTCTGGGAAGCCAAGGAACGTTCATAGTTGTAAACTCAGTTGCGTCAGGGGTTTGGATAATTTCCAAAAACGTTAAAAAATGAAGATTTATGCTAATGATGCACTGCACTGAAGAAAACCCTCCTGTAAATATGTAGCTAAATTTACCGTAATTATTTATGAACAACTTTCAGCTATCTTTGTCATGGACCACCCAACCCCTCCATCCCTCCGCTGAAGTCTAATCCCCCTCTGACCATTATATTACCATTATACCCCCAATACCCCACTTTCTTCCTATATTTTCCCCACATCCTCTCCTTATCCCTCTATTGTGCTCCAGTATCCCCCCTGTCCAATGTATTTTCCCCCAATCCCCCCACAGTTCTTATACTTCATTCTACCCTGCATTCCTATATGGTCATTACAACCTTTCCTCCATCCCTCTGTTGTACCCCAATTCCCCTCTGTCATACCATAACCCATCATCAAACTGTCCCTCCATTCCACCCCAAACTCTCTCTTCATATACTGTACTCCAATCCCCTCCATCGATCTTTTATACCGCAATGCTCCTTTGCTTACCAGTTATAAATCAATCCTCTTTATCTCTGTTGTACCCCAATTCCTGAGGTTAATGTACAACATATATGTAAAGCGCTGCGTAAATTGACTGCGCTATATAAGTACCTGAAATAAAATAAATAAATTCCCTCTGTTTAGGGTTTTTTCTCAACTGAAAGACATTCTATATCATAACCATGTACACTGGGTACAGAGGGGCAGCTATTGGTGCAGTTGCACTACTTATAAAGGTTCTATGGACTGTAGCCTATATGTTTTTTGCACGAAAGGGGGCATTCAGGTTGCTGGATACGTGGTTTCAACTATGTTTTTAATGGGTGTTTTATTTTTAATAAATAAAGTATTGTTTTAGCCAATTGACCTTCGGAAGCTTTTACCTCCTTCATAACCAAGACATTTTTTTTTGCTATTCAGCTTTGCACTACTTTAACTGGCAATTGCTCAGTCATGCAACACTCTACCAAAAAGACCAAACATTTTGAAAACAACCCACAATATTTTCTACTTTCTGATATAAAACATATCCAATAAAAAATGAAAACATTTAATTTCTTTAAACATTCAGGCCAAAATGTATTCAGATTGACATTTGATATTAGTTTTTATTCCCCAAATTTAGAACATATAGGCTGCAGATTGAATTAGTGTGCATTTTGTTATTAATATTAAATTACAACATTTTTAAAATTAAAATCCCTCTGCAATGACATGATTGTAGGGAGTAGGATAAAGTATGTGTATTGTGCAAACTGGAAGGTTCCCGCAAATGTACATCAGTCCCGACACACACACATGTTAGTAATCAAAAACCTCGCATTGCTTTCCTCCAGTGTTTCATCTTATCCCTCCAATGCCTTTGTATTTTCCATGGGTTTATCAGTTTTTGCCAAACCACAAAAACATTCTTCTCTCCCCCCAAAAAAATGCAGGCATGAGACCCACTTGGCAGTCCATTTAAGGCGCTATCTGAGCTTAACTAGTGCAACCATCACCAGAGTGCATCAAAGGGATTGCAAATGATGGAGAAAAAAGACTGTCTGTATTAACAATAGGAGAACACAAGTTTAAATTTGATTGGATACTACCTGTTAAGAAAAAAAAATTTTTGATTGGATGCCATAAGCAGGGCATAAGATGATGCAATTCTCTTACCTGTAACCACAGGTTGGAGGGGAAAAAAAATCGCTAGATTCCCCCATCAACATAGTTAGTGTTGATGGGGGAATCCCTCCTGCAGACCTAATGTGTTCTCCCAGCAGGGGGCCCAGAGGGGAAGCTGTCCCTGCCCGGGAGAACACAGTGATTATTGCTAACAGCTATAGCATGCTAATAACATTTTAAAGCAAAACCTTTAATTTTTTCATTACATATCTTATTTTAGGCCCAATGAGGTCTTCACTGAGTATCTGTGTTTCTCTATGCAGTGAAGGCAGATCATGATTAGAGGGAGGGGCCCAATTGGTGGGAGGGGCCCACAGGGGTGCTATACATAGCTTCCTGAAAACATTACAACACCCTGCCTCAGTATCCCTCTCAAGAGCTCATAATCCTAATGCAAGCACTGGACTGGATTATCAATATAGGCAAATATCAAATTGCCTTGATGGTTTGATATCAGTCTGAAGGAGTGGGCATTCCTAGGCAGACTGCTCTAGGTAACACCCACATGTGATGCTGAACCTCAGTAACTGAAAGAACTGGGTGCAGGCCAGGGACAATAAGACTGGGTAAGAAGGGGATAAAGGACGCTGGACATCCTCTAGTCAGGAAACGGGGTGGGCTCAATCTGCTTGCTGCAGCTTCTAATGTACATGGTGTGAAGCTTACAGTGTGCAGTAAAGTTAGTAAGAAATTTCTGTACAGGCAAGGACTCTGAAAGTGTGAAAATAAGGCTGGAGTTTAGTTTGAACTTTATAAACTATGTGATTGCCGACCCACTGAGTCCAATACAACATAATGTCTGATCCAGCTAATGCAGGAGCAGAGCAGTTTCAAATCTATCTAACTCCAAAAACAAGAAATGTAATATGTTGCACCTTACTAGTCCTTGTGGAGATTGCATTTTTTTTTCTGTTTTTTTTTTATTTTTAACTTTATCTTCCTGCCAGTAACATGCTTTCCTGTACTGGGGTGACAACTTTCACTTTCCACCATTTCTTTAGAGGTAGCCATGGTTGTCACCCAGGCGGAACTTCAAACGTCTTCCTTTGTTCATCTCAGAAAGAGAGATAAGAATATTTTTGTGACCAAAGCAGAGAGATAGAAGTTTTTTAAAAAAAAAACAGTTATATCCTGTCATCAGAGAGTAGCTCAGTGTCATCATAGTGACACTGTACTACTCTGGAGGGTGATCATGATTTTTTTTTTTTTACACTGTTATTGCTTATACAGTGATGATCATTGTATAAGCAATAGCTTTAGCTGTCATGAATAGGTTTCCCATTTGTGAACTGCTTGCCTATGGTTGTGATTAGAGATGAGCGAATTATTCAAAAATTTGATTCGGCTGATTCGGCGAATTCGTGGAATAAATTCAATTCGAGTCGAATATATTCGCTGCGAATTTAACTTATAAAAAGGGTGTTTCTAGGCTTCAGAGAGCCTTTATATTAGTGCAGAACACTGTACCTTTAATTTAAATGCCCTTGGAGTCTGCTGGGGAAGAGAAATAATCATGTCAGTCAGTATGACATGCAGATGAGTGCCGTCGATCTTAGAATCACCGCACACTTCACTCATTTGGGCAGTCACGGGGCCAAAACCAGAGTGTGGAGCCACAGTGTGGCGGTGGAGGCAGCAGCAATGGGAGGCCATACAGCACCCTATGAAAAAATGGAACCCCCACAGCAGTGTGAAGAGACCTGAAAGTGGCACATGGCAGAGTGTGGCAATGGAGACAGCAGCAATGGGAGGCCGTACAGGGACCCATGACACACTCTGGACCTTGGCAGCAGCATGAGGAGGCGGTACAGGGGCCCATGACAGATTACGGGCCTGGCAGCAGCATGAGGAGTCGGTACGGGGGCCCATGGCAGATTACGGGCCTGGCAGCAGCAATGGGAGGCCCGTAATCTGCCAGCACCCTATGACAAAAATGGAACCCACCAGCAGTGTGAGGAGACCTGAAAGTGGCACATGGCAGAGTGTGGCGATGGAAGACAGCAGCAATGGGAGGCCGTACAGGGACCCATGACACACTCTGGACCTGGCAGCAGCATGAGGAGGCGGTACAGGGGCCCATGACAGATTACGGGCCTGGCAGCAGCAATGGGAGGCCCGTAATCTGCCAGCACCCTATGACAAAATGGAACCCACCAGCAGTGTGTGAGGAGACCTGAAAGTGGCACATGGCAGAGTGTGTGGCGATGGAGACAGCAGCAATGGGAGGCCGTATAGGGACCCATGACACACTCTGGACCTGGCAGCAGCATGAGGAGGCTGGTACAGGGGCCCATGACAGATTACGGGCCTGGCAGCAGCATGAGGAGTCGGTACGGGGGCCCATGGCAGATTACGGGCCTGGCAGCAGCAATGGGAGGCCCGTAATCTGCCAGCACCCTATGACAAAATGGAACCCACCAGCAGTGTGAGGAGACCTGAAAGTGGCACATGGCAGAGTGTGTGGCGATGGAGACAGCAGCAATGGGAGGCCGTACAGGGACCCATGACACACTCTGGACCTGGCAGCAGCATGAGGAGGCGGTACAGGGGCCCATGACAGATTACGGGCCTGGCAGCAGCAATGGGAGGCCCGTAATCTGCCAGCACCCTATGACAAAATGGAACCCACCAGCAGTGTGAGGAGACCTGAAAGTGGCACATGGAGAGTTGTGGCGATGGAGACAGCAGCAATGGGAGGCCGTACAGGGACCCATGACACACTCTGGACCTGGCAGCAGCATGAGGAGGCGGTACAGGGGCCCATGACAGATTACGGGGCCTGGCAGCAGCAATGAGGAGTCGGTACGGGGGCCCATGGCAGATTACGGTGCCTGGAAGCAGCAATGGGAGGCCCGTAATCTGCCCCACCTATGACAAAATGGAACCCACCAGCAGTGTGAGGAGACCTGAAAGTGGCACATGGCAGAGTGTGGCGATGGAGACAGCAGCAATGAGAGGCCGTACAGGGACCCATGACACACTCTGGACCTGGCAGCAGCATGTAGGAGGCGGTACAGGGGCCCATGACAGATTTACTGGGCCTGGCAGCAGCATGAGGAGTCGGTACGGGGGCCCATGGCAGATTACGGGCCTGGCAGCAGCAATGGGAGGCCCGTAATCTGCCAGCACCCTATGACAAAATGGAACCCACAGCAGCTGTGTGAGGAGACCTGAAAGTGGCACATGGCAGAGTGTGGCGATGGAGACAGCAGCAATGGGAGGCGCGTACAGGGACCCATGACACACTCTGGACCTGGCAGCAGCAAGAGGAGGCGGTACAGGGGCCCATGGCAGAGTGGCGAAGCGTAAGCAGCTTAAATTGAAGGCCATACAGAGACCTATGTTAAAAATATAACATGTTTGGGGCATGATTCATGGCGGATTTAGTCAGTTTGTGTCAGGAACTGGTGGATTTGAAATCCAGACTAATCCACGCCTGATTCATTTTCACAAACGTGAGTCTCCTCCACACTTTGGGTGGACTGTCGTGTCCTCCGCGGAGTTACAATACCTCCTGCCGCAGTAAACACGCGCTCCGATGCCACGCTACTGGCCGGCATGACAGCCTTTCAAGGGCAAATTCAGCTATAGTTGGGGCCAAAGGTCAAGTTTCGTTGCCCAGTAGTCAATGGGGATTGTCTACCTCGGTTGGCAGGGTGCTGTCCAAGTAGGCCAAGCCTGTTGTTTGAGGTCCTGCTCCAGGTCCACCTGATGCTGCTGCTGCTGCGGCTGGTTAGTAGTTTCCTCACTGCGCTGGTGAAGAAAGCTACTCATCATCGACTGCAGACTGAGGCAGCCGTGCTGGTGGAGCTGCCACTGCTCCTACCACCCCACCCTCACCCTGCTGCATCCTGGCAGCGGTAACGCAAGGCGCACTGCGGCCCACAGTGTCCTGAGGATGGATGTTGGCGCAGAAAGGCAGAGACCAAACTGACTACATAGGTGGTTTTTATAGTACGTTATTTTGGCCCTCCCTCCTCAGCAGGTGTGAAAAAGGCCACCATTTTGAACAGGTTAGTAGCGAGGGTCCAACCAAGGTGGACAGCCAAAAGTCATCCCTACTGTCTGATGGTTATTATGAGCGGCTGTCGCTACGCAAGCAACCGAGCATGACTATGGGCCATTTGTGCCAAGGGAATGCGAGGGATCCCTGCCTCCATCTCCACAAGCATTTACTGCCACGGTAGTGTCTGGGTCCTCTTGTCTCCTCCTCCGCCTCCTTCGACCAGATGCTTCCTGCTCTCCATCCTGTCGCAGAGTGGAAAAACCACCCATTTCACTCAATAATTCTGGCACCAATGTCCTCCTCTACCTCCTCCTTCTTCTTCCTGTCCTGCCCCACAGGGGGTCATTTGGCGTTGAGATCTGTGCGCCACGTCTTCCGCACCCTGACCAGCCCATATTGTTAACAGCATTGTTCCAGGGACGTGCATCAGAGGAATGAGTCGTTATACCATAGTCCTGCGACTCACGAATAGAGTGCCTCCTCAAAGGGCCTGAGCAAGCGGGCTGGTGTCACGCAGTTTTTGGGGAATACAAAGGGGGGCTGGCCCAATGGCTGACATCTAAGTTACACAGGGGAGTACCTTTATCCGCTTGTAACATCAGGAAATCGGTGATGGCCTTTCGCTGTTCGTAAAGGCGGTCTAACATATGTAGGGTTGAATTCACCTTGTTGCAACGTCGCAGATCAGGCGATGCTGTGGAATTCCGTTCTGCCGCTGCAGCTCAAGGAGGGTGTGCTTTGCGGTGTAGGAATGGCTGAAATGCATGCAAAGTTTACGTGACATTTTAAGGATGTCTTGCAGTGGGATGGTGGATTTTAGGAACCGCCTTGACAACCAGATTGAACACGTGAGCCATGCATGGCGCATGGCACAACCTTCCTTGACGCAGAGCAGACACCATGTTCTTTCCGTTGTCGGTCAACATGGTTCCGATTTTCAGTTTGGCGGGAGACAGCCATCTGTCGATTTCTCTGTTCATTACATCAGAAGTTCCTCCCCTGTGTGACTACGTTCGCCAAGGCATACAGGTGCAGCACAGCGTGACACGTTGCGCCCTTTCACAGTGATACGGGCGGGAATGGACTTGGCCGGGGGTGGGGGGGCTGAGGACACGGCGGAA